CCTTGTTAATCTTTACCCAAAGATGATATATTTTCCATAGATTTTTTTTAAGAGGGGGGGGAGGGGGAAGAAACATCAATGTGAGAGAATGAGAGAAACATCAACTGGTTGCCTCCTACATGCAATCTGACCTGGAGCCCAGGGATCAAACCTGAAATCCTTTGATGCTCAGGCAAACGTTCTAACCCCTTAATCACACTGGCCAGGGCAACTGTTTCGTTTTCAAACACACTAAATAAAAATACAAAGTTAACATTTATGTAGCCCCACATAATGATACTTTGTTACACTACCATAAGGACACAAGTCAGAAGTTTTAAAAACACTGGCTAGCCCAACTGATGTGGCTCAGTGGTTGAACATCAACCATGATCCAGAAGGTCACAGCTCAAGTGGCACTGCACATGCCCGGGTTTTAGGCTTGATCGCCAGTAGGGGGCATGCAGGAGGCAGCTGATTGATAATTCTTATCACTGAGGTTTCTATCTCTCTCCCTCTCCCTTCCCCTCTTTGAAATAAATAAAAACATTAAAAAACCAAACAAAACACCAGCTAACAATCTCAGCATCAACTTTTGACTGTAGAATCAAGCCTCAGTCCCTTTAGAACTCATTTTCAATTCTGGTTAAGAATTATAGAATCAGCCGGAACCGGTTTGGCTCAATGGATAGAGCGTCGGCTTGGGGACTGAAGGGACCCGGGTTCGATTCCGGTCGAGGGCATGTACCTTGGTTACGGGCATATCCCCAGTTGGGGGTGTGGAAGAGGCAGCTGATCAATGACTCTCATTGATGTTTCTAGCTCGCTCTCTCTCTCCCTTCCTCTCTGTACAAAATCAATAAAACATATTTAAAAAAAAAAAAAAGAATTACAGAATCAAATCTGAATGTTAAATAGGAATGATTCTCAATCTTCTGATCAACTGCCAAAGCACCTTGATGGGATTCATTCCATCACCCGAGGAACTTCAAATGGACCCGCTGTTCTCACCCTTCTGTTATTTAAAAGTCTTGACTTTTCTGACAAGTAAAAGCAAAGTCATGGCAAGCCCTAGCCCTAGAATTCTCTACAAAACTTACCCTTCCTATTTAGTCAGAACTTAGTTAAGAGATGAAGTAATTTGACGATCCTCAATTATTCACTGCAATAATCACAAAGGTAAGACCAAAGTGTAGGCCCCAAATAAAATCCTGTTGCTGCCAAAACCAGAGGAAAGGGAGAGTCTCTGCCCTGAACCTTAGCAGGAAGACACACTCTGCTCCCCCGAGTGATTACAAACTTTCCCCATAGGGATTTAATTCACTTGCAGGAGTTATGCTATTGATACTTGCCAAGCACTGCAGTCTCCTGGGTTCAAAGCAAATTCCATATTTATGGATGTAGACTTATGAAATGAATATACTGAATAGACCTATTTATTTTACTGATTTTGGTTTGGTTCTGGTTTTGACCCTCTTATTTTGGACAGATTACCTCTCTCAAGTATGGTGCCTCACCTAGAAGCAGCAGGAATAGTATCTCCCCTTCCTACCTCATAGCACTCTGATGCATAAAGCACTGCACATGCAAAAAAGATAACAATTTTAATGTAAAAAGTATTTTGGTTGATAGCTGTATTTACGCTTTCTTTAAATATAGTTTTCTATTGCACTTACAGGGGTTCACATAAAATGTAATCACAACTGTTCACTTGTACACATGAGATATATCTATCTTCAATTTTTAGAAGGCAGCCTTATTAAACTTCTTTTATAAAATCTATTTGTTGTATGTAAATTTGGCCTCAATTAAACTGACCAAAAAGGTCTACTGCTTGCCTGGATATTTATTTCTCCTACACTGTGAAATCATGAATCCCTGCTGTTGAAAGACTAATATGCTGTTAGAATTTGGACATATTAAATGAACAAGTTTCCAAAACACTCAACTAACTATATACTGGTTAACACAAAGTCCTACTACTTCTTCTTTTTTTTTTTAATATATTTTATTGATTTTTTACAGAGAGGAAGGGAGAGGGATAGAGAATTAGAAACATCGATGAGAGAGAATCATCGATCAGCTGCCTTTTGCACACCCCCTACTGGGGATGTGCCCGCAACCAAGGCACATGCCCTTGCCCGGAATCGAACCCGGGACCTTTCAGTCCGCAGGCCACCGCTCTATCCACTGAGCCAAACCGGTCCCTGCACAAAGTCCTACTTCTTACAAAGGGTGCCAAATAAGGAAAGACTAGTTGTGAGAACGTGTTTTGAGTCTTCCTCTTGCTGCCCTCCTTTGGGGCGCATTCCCTATTTCCTGTTTCCGAATCACCTCTGCCTGTTCTCCTCAGCCATTCCTGCCCTCTCCTGCCTGCCATTGGTGGCAGTGGCATATCACCTGCAGATGTTGCCTTACTTCACACACATCCATGCACCTTCTGGTAGACTGCAAGTGCCTGCCAGTCATACAGCACTTTGGGGTTCTGTTCTTTTGGCCAACTGCCAGCCCCCAGACTCATCACAGGCCAGCCCCCACATAGGGGCAGTCCAAGTAGCTCTCTCTTGTTTCTCAGGCCTATTCCCAATTCTAACCCCTCAGCTCTACCCATGCACAGAGTTCCTCTCCCTCAAATTTTACCAGAGCAGGGAACACACCTTGTTCCTACTGGCTCAATTTTCTCCTAGAAGCCTCAAACACCCAATTCCTCACTAAAATAAGATTGAGTCTCTCAAGAATATTATTCCCAGGTCTCTCCTCAATTTCCCATCTAACCAAATGCCTTCACTCCTTTGACTCTTTGTAGTGTAATTCCATTAGTCCTTTATTTCCTTAATCTAAGGCCTTAAGATCTGTCTTAGACTACTACCCTGTATCCCCGAAAATAAGAGTCTTATATTAATTTTTTCTCCCAAAATTGTGCTAGGTCTTATTTTCAGGGGATGTCTTATCTTTCCATGCGCTAGGTCTTATTTTCGGAGGATGTCTTATTTTCGGGGAAACACGGTAGTTACAGGAGACAAAGTTGTATCTTATTTAATTTGCTCGGTGATTCCCTCCTTGGCACCCCAACACAAATTCACCCTATCACATATAACGTCTCTTATGAGGATCAAAATTAGAAAGGAACGGGACACAAGTGGGCAAGAATGAAAAATCCTTTCTAATAAATCTCCTTGTGATTAGCAGCATAATAAATATCTGACTATCCAAGTAACCGAACTACGGTACTCAAAAGGCCATCCTTTGGACTCTATATCTTGGAAACAGCTACGATAGATGTACATAGTGGGATAAGCCTTTTTGTTAGGTCTTAGGTACTAATTTCTTCCTCTGTATAAAACAAAATTTGCAATACCCTCACTCAACAATAGCAAAGCTATCCAAAAAGTTATGTTTCAGAGAACAATCTTCAAAGCTGAACTTGCCTGGCATGATCTCCGTTCCAAACACGGCAAGATCAATCAAGCAAAAATCTATTCTACAGTAAAAGGGCATTTAAATCACAGCTGTTTCCACATCTCTCACTTCACATTAGTTGATTTTATAAAATTAACATTAAACTCAAATCTTTATCAGTTTTTAAAAGTCTTATTAGAGACTTTTATATTCCATGAGACATATTTATTCCTTCCCAGTTTAACGAATTTCATTTTATTAGACAAGAATCTCCTTATGACAGATTTTTTTTTAAAAAGTTGTGTCTCACTTCTACATTAACTAAGATCTAAGAATTGTATTAAAACTGGAACCATAAAATTCAAGTTTTGTTTAAACAGAATTTCAGACCACTAGTAGAAATATGCTAGTGGCCAGTAAGAAATATTTGCAGAAGTTGAACAGCTGTTGTCTGCTACAAATATGAAGGGACTGCTACAGCAATGTAATCCAATTTGGGCCCATTCATTATAAACTGATTTTCAGATGCTGCTATGCACGATGGTACTGGAGAAATGCAAGCCACCCCAGAGACAGAACTGTTCCCACGCGGCGACAAGTTTTCACTGCAAAGGAGAGCTCTAAAAGAGGAAATACAACTAGCTCACAATGCTGCCATGAACCAGCCCGAAGAACCCAGAATTATTAAATGAATGGAAAACTAAAATACTAAAAACTAAAACAATGATTACCTAAAGAAACTTTTCAAGGTAGCTGTTTAATGGGGGGGGGGGGGGGGACGGGAAAAAAACAAACAAACAAACAAAAAAACCCAAAACAAAACCTCATTCAGTATCCTGATAAAATATTTTTTTAAGAAATCCTAACATCTTCGATTTTTACATACCTACATTTGGTAAAAGCCAGCACGAGCTCCAATGGTGATGGCAGCCCAAGTGAATCTGTTACTTAACTTTCTTTTGAAGTTACCCTTTTGTAAAATGAAACACACCACGGACACTTTTTAGGACATCTTGCTAACTAAGTTTAGGGTTGTGGGGGGGAAAAAATGGAATGATTTAGGTGACCAAAACAAGAATTTTCAAAAAAAATACTCCGAGAAACTTCTAAGCTGTAACTCACAGGCTGGCCGCGGCTCTCGGAGTGTCTTCTGGGCGCAGCACTGCGAATGTCACCAGTTCAGAGAGCACTTGGGGGGGGAGAGGGGAGGGTGTCCGCTGCGCTATGTCCTCCTCCGGCCCCCAAACTAGCCCACCCTCCGCTGTCACCCCTCCAGACACCCGGCGGCATCACCACGCAACATCAACACGCTCCGAGCGCTCTACTTTTCCTCCCTGGAAGTACACCATCCGGTTTCCCCGCGAGGAGGGCTTCCCAACTCCGGGAAGCCCGAGTGCACCGGGCATCGGCCCCCCATCGCGGGCCGGGACGGTCTCCCGGCCACTTCCCCTCTCCGGCGGGGCTGCGGGGAAGGGGCTGTGCCGGCCTCCTCTTGGGGGGGGGGGGGGTGAAGGGGGTGCTCCGCAGGCACGCCGCCGAGCTGGGCTCTCCGGGGACACTCACCATTGGGGGGGAAGGATCTGACAGCGACCCCCGAGCCCCCCGCCCGGCCCCCTCCTCACCTGTGCTGTCATTCGCCGGGAAGCCGGGCGAGCTGAGTTTGGCTCGCTTGGGGTTGGGCGGTCCGTCCAGCAAGTTTTCGGCCATTTTCACCTGCTCTCGAAAACAGCCCCGAGAGCGGGCGGCGGGGCCGGCGAGGGCTCCGGGGCAGGGGTCGGCGCCGCCCCGGCCGGCTGCGAGGGGAGAGGAGCGAGCGCGAGCGGAGAGCCGCGAGCGAGCGCCGAGAGAGAGGGAGGGAAGGAGGGAGGGCGCAGGGCCGGGTGGGGGAGGCGGCGGCCAAATCTCAGCCACAGCAACAGCGCCCCGCAGCGCTCACCGCCCGCCCCCGGCCGCCGCCGCCGCCGCCGTCGCCGGCCGCGGCCCCCTCATCCCCTGCCCGCCTCCCGAGCGCGACACTCCGCGGCGGGGGCGCCCCGGCGGCCCGGCCGCCCCCCCGGGCCCGGCAGGCAGCGACGGCGCCCGGCCGGCCGGCTCAGGCAGTCCCGGGGAACATGGTGCCGCCGCCGCGCCGCCGCCTCACTACCCCCCCCCCCGCGCCCCACTTAATTAATTCGCTCGCGGCCTGACGACCGAGGGGCTCCGGGCTCCACTCCCCGCCCGCAGCCTGTCGCCGTAAGAAAAAACAATGCGCGAAGCGGAGCCGCCGCCGCCGCGCCCCCCCCACCCCCCGTTCCGCCGCCGCCGCCGCCGCCGCCGCCGCTGCCGCCGCCGCCGCCGCCGCCGCGGCTCCGGGAGGCCGAGCCGAGAGGGGAGCGGGGCCGCCGGAGCGGGCGCCGAGGGCCGGGCGGAGCGGGACGGACGGGCGGAGCGGGGTGCGCGGGCGGTTGTGGGGCCCGGGACCGGCGGGGCCGAGTAGATCGCGCTCGAAGCCCCGGTCGGGTCCGCGACAAGATGGCGGCTGTTGATTCCTCAATTAAAAAAAAAAAGAAAGTTTTTTTTCTTCTCTTTCCAGAGCCTGAACGGGGAGGGGGAGGGGGCGGGGCACGCCGGTGCGTCACCCCCCCGCGGCGTCACCACGCACGGCCCCCGCCCCGCCTCCTCCACCTGCGCCGGCCGCGCCGGAAAGAGCCGAGCGCTCTCGGGCGGAAGGGCCGAAGGCGCGGCTGCGGAGTGTCAGGCGGCGAGGCTGCGGGGCGGCGGCCGGGCCTGCGGGACCCGGGGCTCCCGGCCCGCCCTCCACTTTTGTTCAGACTCCCAACGGGGCTGCGGGGCCCATCCAGGGCTGGGGGCGGTAGCCTGGCCGCGGACCAAACCCTCCGGCGCGGAGTCAGCGCCGGCCGGGCCCGACGGTCTGGAGACTGCCCGGTCGCGGCAACTCGCTTCCCTGCCCGCGACGTCCGGGGCGACCCGAGCCGGGCCCGCTCACTTCGCCCCGCCAGACGCCAGCGATGTGTCGTGGCTTCTTGCAGGTTACAAACCGCCCTCAGGTCCGCCCGCGAGCTTGTGCTTGTGGGGAAACCGAGGCAGGAAGTGGCAGGACCAGGGTTTGAACCCCGCCCCGAAAGTGAAGTGAGGGGAACGCAAGACTCCTGAGCACCAGTCCTAGGCCACGGGGTCCCCAGGGCCGACACCTCATCTGTAAGGGGAGGTGGGGAGTGCTGCCCCACCCAGGGCTTGGGCACGGCCAGCGTGCGGAGGGCCCCCGAAGGCCCCTTTCGTCGGAGCTTAGGGCCCCGACAACCACTTGGGAACTCGGAAGGTGCTCCAGACAGACCTGGGATCCCACGGAGACCGGCTCTTCCCGTGGGACCGTGGCCACTTCCCGTGGGACAGTTACCCAGAAATCTAAAGTGTTCACTTCTCAGTTTTGTCCCCTCCTCCAAACTCATCCCGAAGTCCTTATCTGAAAGGTATCGCCAGCAACCCTGTTTCCTACTCCAGAAACCCGTGAGTCACGGAACACTCCTCCCTCCCTCTCCCCACCCACCAGCGCTTTACCTGGGGAAACGGCTCTTCCTCCCCACACCACGGCCCCAGAGTCGTCCAGCATCACCCGGTGCCCTCGGCGGCAGATTAGCACTTAAATGTCTTTAGCTCTCCACATTTCTCCCCTCAGTTAACTTCCTGGGAAAAGAGGGAAAGAACTCCGTTTAAAACCAATAGCTCCCTACACACAGCATATATATCCTCCTTTTAAGAATATGTACAGTCTGTTTAAAATGCCATATATATTTAAAGAGATTGTCTGAGTGTCAAGACTGATCTTTCTACTTTTTTCCATTTATATTGCCCCACCCCTTGCTTGCATCTGTCCCATTTTCCATCCCTTGTTCCATTCCACCATCTCCTCCCCACACTCCCACTGAGCCACTAGTAAGTGCCCATCATTCAGGCCTTGATATACTCTTTCATATATATATATATATATATATATATATATATATATATATATATATATTATTGATTTTCCACAGAGAGGAAGAGAGAGGGATAGAGAGCTAGAAACGTCCATGAAAGAAACGTCAACCAGCTGCCTCCTGCACTCCTCCTACCAGGGATGTGCCCACAACCAATATTCATGCCCTTGACGGGAATCGAACCTGGGACCTTTCAATCCTCAGACAGATGCTCTGTCCTCTGAGCCAAACCAGTTCCGGCTTGATATACTCTTGTAGATGCTGTTCCCTATGCTGAGAATACATATACCTGGCAAACTCTTAACTCCAAGACCCAGTTCAAATGTCACTCTGGGAAGCCCTCCTAGTCCACTTAAAGATTCCAACAGCACCCTGGACATACCTGTATCATTACTTTTAGTTATCCATTCATGTTGTTATTTTTTAAAATATATTTTATTGATTTTTTTACAGAGAGGAAGGGAGAGATATAGAAAGCTAGAAACGCCAATGAGAGAGAAACATCGACCAGCTGCCTCCTGCAAACCCCCCACTGGGGATGTGCCTACAACTCAGGTAGATGCCCTTGACCGGAATCGAACCCGGGACCTTTCAGTCCACAGACCGACATTCTACCACTGAGCCAAACCGGTTTCGGCCATTCATGTTGTTATTTACCCATTAAATATTCCTTGAGAACCTCATGAGGTCATTGCTTTTTTGCTGTTTTGGGGCCAAAAAAGAGAAATTCCTATATTTCTAGGAGGCCAAATAGCAAACCCCAGAAACCATAAGCAGAAGTTTGCAAGAAGACAATTTGCATACAAGGCAGGAAGTAAAGGAAGCTGCAGCCACCGTAAGGGAATGTGCTGTGTGTCCCTCTCACTAGTGATCTTTGGGCTCCTTGAGTGCAAGGGCCATTTTTTAAAATATATTTTTATTGATTTTTACAGAGAGGAAGGGAAAGGGATAGAGAGTCAGAAACATCAATGAGAGAGAAACATGGATCAGCTGCCTGGTATGTACCCGCAACCAAGGTACATGTCCTTGGCTGGAATCAAACCTGAGACCCCTCAGTCCACAGGCCGATGCTCTATCGACTAAGCCAAACCAGTCAGAATAAGGACTATGTTTTAATCACAGGACAGTACCCTCCAAAAGTAGGTTTGTAGAATTTGATGAATGAATGAACCTATGAATGAATGAACATCGTCGGGTCCCCCTGAGACCTAGAAGCCTCCAGGCCCGAAAGAAGGGTGGGTTCCAAATCAAGGCAGCTCCAGGCTACTACCCCACAGAGGGGGCAACATGTCAGGTCGTTGAGGAACCTCAGCCGGGGCCTGCCTTGGTTCAGTAGGGTCATCTGGCCCTCAGGGTCACTCAGTAAATAGTTGTACAACCATGTGAACATGAGCTTGTACTACCCCCCCATAAGTGGGCAGCTATGGCATGGGTCATGCCCCATTTTACAGGGGGGAAACTGAGGGGACCCAATCCCAATGGCTTAGAGGTAAATAATTTGGACATATCAGGGCCAGGCCAGAAACAAATCTTCAAACTCCAAACCCATGCTCCTCCTGCTTAACCATTCTCAACACTAACACATACCTCCTCAGCAGTCCCTTTATCTATCACAATTGTATAATTTTTATGAATTCCTCTCTTATTTCCTAATAGCTGCTTTTTCTTTTCTTTCTATTTATTCTCCCCTTGGTCTGACTCATCCAAGAAAATTGTACTCAGACATTGATGGGGGAATATCAAGGGAGGAAGTATGGTTTCTGCCTACATAGACTTAGCTGGGGATCAAGGTTGACCCATCTGAAAGGGATTCAACACTGTTTGAGTGCCTTCTGTATGCCAGGCCACATGGCTGTGCTTGGATCAGCACTTCCCTCAATCCTAGAAGGAAATATCTTTGTTTTTGTTTTATAGATGAGGAAATAAGGCATAGAAGAGGGCAAGTCAGTCAATAATGAGCTCATGTGGGTTGCAAACCTAAGGCTGCCTGCTCCTTCCAAAAACCTCAGAGGATGTAGGACTAAGGAATCCCCACTTACAGAAGGCTTGGGGGCCAAGAGAGCATGTGGTGGAGAGGAACAAGAAGTAGAAGTAAATCAGGAAAGATCTCCTTAGAAAGGTTCATCTGAATCCATCAGCTGTTGAATGGGTAAACATAATCCTATATAATAAAGAGGTAATATGCAAATTGGCCCTCATGCCCACACAAGATGGCTGTCTACAACCAGGCTGGCAGGGGGGTTAATAAGGGATGACCAAATGACTGAACAAGCAGGCTGCATGGTGTGACCAGGTTGGTGGGGGGGAGGGGGAAGTTGGGGGCGACCAGACCAGCAGGGGAGTGCAGTTGGGGGCGACCAGGCTGGCAGGGGGAACAGTGAGGGGTGACAAGGCTGGCAGGGGGACAATTGGGTATGACGAGGCCAGCAGGGGTGGCAGTAAGGAGTGACCTGGCCAGCATAGGGGGGGCAGTTAGAGGCGATCAGGCCAGCACACAGAGGCAGTGAGGGGCAATCAGGCAGGTGGAGGGCGCAGTTAGGGGCAATCAGGCAGGCAGGTAGGTGAGCGATTAGAAGCCAGCAATCCGGGATTGTGAGAGAGATGTCCAACTGCCAGTTTAGGCCCAATCCCTGGGTAGTCAAGCATCCCCTAAAGGGTCCCAGACTGGAGAGGGTACAGACTAGGCTGAGGAGTCTTGCCCAATGCACGAATTTCATGCACTGTGCTTCT